TAATGTTCAACTCCTAATCTAAACATGCACGGGTTTGACACAACTAAAAATAAAAATAAAGAAAAGAAAACTTACCTTGGGTTGCCTCCCAAGAAGCGCTTGTTTAACGTCCTCAGCCTGACGTTCATGGAGCTTTCAACCAATGGGTATGGAAAGGTATCCAGCATACCCTCCCGAGCAATGATAGAACGCATAGCCTCCATCTAACATATGAGTCACCTCTGCAGGGCCAGGTGTGCGAAAATTGGGTATGACCTTCTTAGCTGGCATGTTAGACCCTTTAGTGAGGCGTAGGTGGTACTGCAGCGCCTCAAGCAGGTACTCTTCCTGTTTCAATGTCAGTGAAGAAGGAATAACAACAGGAACATTGAAATCCTTACCCAAATATCTATACTTGAGGTGACCTGGCAAGGATTTCTGTCCTTGCTTTGACTTCAGATTTTGAGCTACCAGGACATGTGATACTTCAGTTGATCCACTATCACAGGAAGAGGAATTTTTCCTTTCTCGAGCTCCACTTTCAAGGTCATCAAATGCATCGTGATTATGATCAACTTGAAAGACATTAAAAATTTCCTCCTCCTTACCTACTCGGAATGTCAACTTGCCTCTCCCGACATCGATGAGTGCATCACCGGTTGCTAGAAAAGGTCTGCCGAGAATGAGAGGCACTCCCCGATCTTCTTCCATCTCCAGAATTACAAAATCTGTTGGGAGAATAAACTTCCCCACCTTCACTAATACATTCTCCACCACTCCTTTGGGAATTTTCACTGATCGATCAGCCAATTGGAGAGTGATCCGAGTAGGCTTAAGAACATCTCCCAATCCCAATTTCTTGTAGACTGAGTATGGCATCAAATTAATTCCTGCTCCAAGATCACAAAGTGATTTATCGAACTCTGTACCTCCAATGACACATGGAATGGTAAAGCTGCCCGGGTCATCCCTCTTTTCTGGTAATTTATTCTGAATCACGGCACTACATTCAGAAGTAAGGGTTACCTTCTCCAGATCAGCCCATTTGCGCTTCTTTGTCAGCAACTCCCTTAAGAATTTAGCATATGTAGGCATCTGTTCAAGTGCCTCCGCCAAGGGTATGTTAATTTGGAGTTGCTTGAAGATATTCACAAATTTCTTGAAGTTTGGGTCTTCCATGGGCTTCATTAACCTTTGAGGGAATGGAGCGGGAGGTTCATAAGGCTTTACCTCTTCATTCTTCAATTTTTCCACTTTTTGAGGTACACGGGCAGCATGCTTTTGCACAGGCAAACCGCTTTCATTTTGCCTGTGCAAGGCTGATTCTTCATTTTCTGCACAAGATCTTTCTCCCGGTGCTTCCTCTTCTGCCTCTGGTGCCTTTTTCGAGCTCCTAGGGTCTTCCAAGGCCTTTCCACTCCTCAATGTCACTGCTACAACCATGGCATCCTTCGGATTCCTCTCAGTATTTGCTGGTAATGTCCCAGGAATCCTGCCTTGCATATCTGCCAAAGTTTCAGCCATCTGGCCTATTTGCCTCTCCATAGCTAGCATAGATGATTGCAAATTATTGTTGATGGCTAGCTGTTGAGTGACAAATTGATCAAGACCCTTCAGATTATTGTCGGTTTTCTGCATGTGAGCCAGAAGCAATTCTTCAAGTTGTGGTTTCTTCTCTGGTTGAGGTTGTTGTTTCTGCAGGCCTGGAGGAGCAATGTTGCGAGCACCAGCTGGGTTGTTGTTTGCCCAGGAAAAGTTAGGATGCTTCCTCCATTGCGGGTTGTAGGTATTTGAATACATACCACCCTGGTCTTGATTTTGTTGATTGTTGATATAGTGCACATCTTCCAACTGATCAGCTACCAGTGGACATAGATCCCTATGATGAGCACCTTCACATAATTCGCACAAAGCAACCTCTTGCTGTCTACCAAGAGCCATCTTAGCCAGCCTTCGTTCGAGTGCATCGAACTTGGAATCCAGCTTAGCATCAATCTTTGCTTCTAAACTTGCAACTTTGTCTATCTCATGCAAGCCTCCTCTCCTTCGAATGCCGGTCTCACTACCCCATTCAGTATCTTCAGAGCATATCTTCTCCAACAGTTCATATGCTTCTGGTGCTTCCATTCTTGTGAAACCATTTCGGGAAGCATTATTCAGAGCATCTCGGAATTGTCTTCTGATTCCGTTGAAGAAGATGGAGATCACGTTCCAATCTTCAAGACCGTGGCTCGGGCATCTCATTAGAAGCTCCTTATAGCGCTCCCATGCCTCGGTCAGACTTTCATCCTTAGCTTGCTTAAAAGTGACAATTTCCTATTGCCTCTTCATCGCCTTGGCAGGAGGAAAGTACTTATCCAAAAAGGTCTTCTCAAGCTGACCCCATGTTGTGATGGAACGGGGTGTCAAGTTCTGGAACCAGTGGGATGCATTCCCTAGCAGAGAAAATGAGAACATCCGAAGACGGATGGCATCATCAGACACAGCCGGGCTCTTCATTGTATCACATATACTCGGGAACCGGCGGAGATGCTCGTGAGGATCCTCATTGCTAGCCCCAGAGAAAGTATACCCATTGGTGATCATGTTGATAAATGCTGGGGTAATCTCCATGGTTGCATCCCCAGCCGGAATGAAAACACATGAAGCCCGGGCTCCAGTCCGTCGATTTAAACGAGCCCTGATCGAACGATCCTCGTCTGCCATGATGACTGGCTCAATGTCACGAGGTGGTGGTGGTGGTGTAGGGACGACTGGTGATGAAGCCTGCCCTCTCTGGGTTAGGGAAGGCCTAGGAGTTGTGGTTGGCTGCTTCCCTAACTTTACCTGCTTCCTGTTCAGTCGACAGGTCTTCTCGATCTCCAGGTCTAGTGGCAATAAATCCCTGGTTGTCCTCCTAGGCATGCACAAAAAGGATTAACCTGAAATTTACCTGCACACTAGCACACAGATCAAAATAGTTCACTCACAAAAATCAACAAAAAATAAGGTATGGCAGTCCCCGGCAACGGCGCCAAAAACTTGATAGGGCAAAAGCGTATAGCTTCAATTCCTATCTCGTAGTAAACCGGAAAGTCCGGGTATCGTCTCTCAGGGACTGGTACAACCTTATATTCTATCAAATTTATGAGCAAACTATAAGTGAAAATGGTTTGAGATATAAACTAATTTCTAAAAGCAAAATAATTAAACTAATTAAGCAAAGTAAACTTGTCAGGAGAAATTCAATGGGAGAAGCTCTGGGAGAAACACCGGGATTCACTACCTATCCTATCCAGATTAATTCACATATTCCAATCAATTTAATCCAATTCTCTACAGCCAGGATATCACGAATGTGCTAGCTATCCCTGTCGGGAATTACTACGTACTAAATAATCAATTCAAATCCTACTGTCGTAGCTCAATGAATTAACTATCTAGCCTGAAGATCGATATCCTATTTAAGACCGCATAGCACCTTATTTAATCCACTGTCGCTTTGATAAGTTACTATGTCACATGAAATAGGCTCGGTTAATAGGGTTTCACTGTCGCTAATAACCTAATCAACTACGATTCATTGTATTGGTGGCCAGTCAACACAAGGCATTAAGCAATTTCATGCAATAGAGATTGGAAGAAAAGAATCATAAATCAATCCATCAAATCAAGAAATAGCTACATCCTATGGTGTTTCCCCCAGAAATTGGGGTTTAGTTCATGACGAAATTAAGATAAATCGATAGGGTTTTGTTCATCATGTTCTAAAACAACAAGAAACAACTAATTAGGTTTAGAAAATCCAACCAACTAATCGCTCTCGTTGAACTCAGCTCTAGCCTTGAAAAAACTCAATCGCCAATTACCAATCGCCGCTCGCGTCCCAAGCTCCTCTCCGTGCGCTGCGACCTGCTCCTCTCCCAGAATAATCCGCCCTCTCCCTCCCAGCCTTTTATTGCCTCTCGCCCCAGCCTGCTGAAAATAAAAGTTGCCTTCGCTTTTCTCCAAATTAATTCCGTCCTCTCAATTGCCACGGACCTGGGCCAAAAATCAAATGCCCACCTGATGTTTCGCCCATTAATTCCACCCAAGACTTCTCGCCTACAAAATCAAGTTTTTGTGGGCTTTAAGTCCACCTTTAATTAAACTTCTCAGTCTCATTAATTTCGTCCCGGTCCAGAAGTTTCAACGCACTAAGCTCCTCATAGGTCCAATTGTTATTCCACCAATGATTCGAGCCCGATTGTTTGCCCGTACAATTTCTCATTTTTTTGTGCTTTCTTCACCTGTAATACATCAAACTCATGGCACTAGGCAGTAGTGGTTTTTCAACCATTTTCGGGTTAGCGAGCCCTAAAATAACACCAATCAGCTAAAACAGATCACGGATAATCACATAAAGTCCAAGAATCCGATATATTAAAGCCAAATATCAGTTAGTTTAACAGGAAATGAAGATAAGGTGAAATAAGTTTGAAATCATGAGAACAATGGATACAGTCCAAGGAAACCCATCTTCCCGGAGAAGTTCTCTCTGAATGACGTGAAATGGGCTTCAAGTGTTTCATCGACTTTGTCTTGCTATCATAACTATCCACTGATAGAAACCTACTTTCCACGGGTTTCTATTACCATATTCATATTAGAGATAATTATTAGAATAAATCATTACTTGGAGGTTAACTTTAGGATTATTGTTAGGTTTTCTATCTTTCCCTATATAAGTGTACTTGGGAGTTTCATTGTAATCAATCGAGAAAGTTAATACGAAATTATCCCAACCCTAGTCTATCTTTCTCCCTCAATCTCGTCCCTCTCTATCTCTCTTCAAAGGCTTCGGCTGTTCTTCCTCAACCCCTAAATTCTTCTTCTAATTCCCAATTCTATTCTAAATCCCTAAATCTCAATCAATTCTCAAATTCCCAACCCAACCGATAGAACCCTAGAAATAGGTTTCTATCATATGGTATCAGAGCCAGAATGAACCCATCCAAGTTCTTCGATTCAGAGTGGATTCGTCTCAGCCACCGGTTGCAGCAGTCTCTTAACCGCTACGAATGGGAAGCGTGGGAGAGGGCGGCGGCCGAGGGCGAGATGGTGGAGATGGCGGCGAGCACCGCCGCGGGCGAGACTTGGTGGAGGCGGTCGGCGGGGCTGACCGAGGCCGCCATGGTGACGGGCTAGGCTATCACGGCTGCTTCCACACCGACGATCACTGCCATTGCGGCACCTGCAATCACAGTGGTCGTCGAGAAAGAGAGCTATTCGCCTCCAACATATGCAGCTGAAATCACCACCGTACTTCTACCGGTAGCAGTCGAAGAAGACGATGCCACGGACGAAAGCGAGTGACAAGTAGAGCAGCCGGGTGGGGAGGAGCTTTTGGCGACCCAGACGCCAGCCACAGATGAACCTCCCATCGCTAAACAACAACAGCCCCTGCAGACCACGGCGCCGCTACAACCACCGCCACCATCGGATTCGACATGGTTCACCTTCAACGATTGCGTGGAGATTTCCTGGCAAGAGTTGGTGAATTCCTTAATCTCAAAGAAGTCTCCAATACAAGTGGCGGCCCTGAGGGGAGGCGCGAGCTGGTCTACCGATCGTTGGTTGTTCTGTTCGTTGTCGGAGACGGAAATGAAGGAGGCGCCGCGGTCGCCGACAGCTCTAGTCGCGACAAAGAAGGCCATGGAGGCGGAGCGGTGGACTGGCACGACGAAGACATGGCGGAGGACGAAGGAGATGGGGGATGGCGGCTGGTTTTATTTGGACAAACCCTCGCAGCGCCCAAAGTAGCAGAACTGGCCTAGGTGGGCCGAGCTGATCGACTGAACTGGCCGAGGGTTGAGGTTCAGTGGACCGAAGAGGGGTATTTTCATGGGCTGAGTTTTCAGAAAAGAATTGGATTTAGAATGGGTTGTCCTTTAAAGAGAATGGACTTGGATGACAAGAATGATGGATTCAAGGAGTTAACAGATAGGCTTGCAGAGTATGGGCCAATAGTAAGTGGAGAAACAATTAAGGGGCTGGCTACTAAGAAGAAATTTGGGGACCTTGATGAGTTGATTCTTACGGATAAATTCTTGTGCCATAAAGCACATTCAGATTCCTTAACCTACTAGATTGTGGTACCATCAAAAAAGGAACTTTTGGGCAATGAAGCAAAGAGTGGATCCTTGAAGTTAATGTTCATTGACCAGTTCGCAAGAATAATCACCAGATAGACGGTGCGATCTCATACCAGATTGGAAGAAAAGGAAGTGCAAGATGTGGAGGAGACGACACCTGGATGGAATGAGAAGAGTTGAGGAGTGAGACAAATCGGTCAACCTTGAGGACGGGGTTGGTCTCAACGGGGAGGTGATGATAGAAACCTACTTTCCACGGGTTTCTATTACCATATTCATATTAGAGATAATTATTACAATAAATCATTACTTGGAGGTTAACTTTAGGATTATTGTTAGGTGACTCACTCCTACTGTCACTCTAGAAATTAGCCAAGTGTAACCACTTCCTAAAGCGTAGTATAGCGGGTTTGGGTTTTAATCTCAACCCGGGTCCTAGATTTGATGACTACTCGGTGAATTCTTGTTATCTAGCAGTGAAACTTTAGTGCAAGTCCAAATTAACAAACAAACAAAGCAAGTTAAACGGTTGTTTTCAAGTCGAGAGAGGTCACCCGGATATGGTTCCCCCTAGACTGCAGTTAAGCCGGATTGCAATTTACCAAGTTCAGTTTCCATGAAAGTTATACTGCGGAAGGTTCTTAAACAGTCTGAAGTCTCGACTAAAGGTCTTCAGACCCTCTCAATCTGAGTCTCTAGCGGGCGACTAACCTCCACCGGAGTAAACAGATTGAGGCCATAACGAACCAAACCTCCACTACCGAATTGAATTCGGTACAGAATAGCGAATTGGCTCCTCGACTAAAGTCACCAATTCGCCACCTTCAATTAAGGGTGCTCTATCAACCTAGGTAGATATTCTCATTCTAGGTTAAAGCAGAAACAACACGAATTTGATCAGGATTCAAGTCATTCAATCATTCAAGCCTCAATCGAATATAATCAAATCATAGAATCTGTACTTGGGTTCATACAATCAGACCTAACATACAAATCTAGGGTTCTCCATACCCAGATGAATGGGAAAACTACTCCATGTAGAGAGAAGCAAAAGCAGATTCAGACGCGGAAACCATACTGTGAAGGATGGGTTTCAGCTCCTGGTCGTCGATCGGCACTTCTCCAAGCTCAAGCCGGGCTCCTATGGTGATGAAGATCAAGCTAGGGCACTTGGGAACTCTGGTTCGTCGCTTTCTCTCTCTAGGAATCACTCTGTCTCTCTAAAACTCGGAACCCTTGATTTTTGGCCTTCTTTTCCTTTTAAAGGCTGACTGTCGCGATACCCGGTCGAAATACCCAGTCGGATATTTTGGGTCGCGACCGGGTATAATTGAAATGCACCGTTCTTGCCTCATGGGAAATCCCCCGGTCTGTCCCAAGAATCCCCGACCGAGGATATTTGCCTCCTGCCCGGGCCCCCTTCTGTTTCTCACGGGCGCCCAAAATAATAAATACCCGGTCGGGTATTTTAGCCCATGACCTGGTATTTTCCTCCTGCAGCACACTTCGACCCTACTTCGCTCCTTTCAACCCAAAACTCGTTCTTCGCCTCAATTCCAACGCCGAGCCCTGAAATATGACATAAACACACAACCTCGCGTGAAATCGGCTTAAAATACGAGAGTCAACCACTCAAACTGCTCAAGAATAGGGGTAAAAACATTTGTAATTATTGGTCTATCAAACTCCCCCACACTTAACCGTTTACTTGTCCCCACGCAAACCTAACTCAAACCAATGCAACTCTCCAGACCTCTACAGCAACCAACACCCCGATCATAGGTAGAGGATTTCCTAGATCATTTAGCAGCTTACGAGGTCAACCGACGCACAAGTCATCTCATAGCTTCTTCGGCGAGAGCGCTAGTCTCGAGTCGGCATCATGGCAAATAGTGAACAGAGGACAAATGAATCGTGGACGAATGGACTCTCAAAAAAAAAGATCATGGACTCACCTTTTTAAGGTGCTCTATTTTCTTCTTGAAGATGGTTGGACCCCCTTTTCTTTCTTTTTTGCTTGTTTTCTGTTTTTTTCTTTTTCTCTTTTTTTTTTCAAGGGTCCCAACCTGCTTTTCAGAAAATGGGGGGTCCCACCTAGCATTTTCTTCTTCAAGAAGAGAGAGGGGAGAGGATTTGGCAGGAAGAGAGAGGAGAAAATTTTGAAAAATGAGGGTAGAGAGAGAAACTGACCGGGGGTTTGCTATAAATAGCAAAAATCCGTGGTCGGGGCTCAAAAATACTCGGTCGGGTATTTTTGATTCCACGACCAGGGGTTCCAAAACGCGGCGTGTCGAGTGCAAGGAAAACCCCGGCCGTGAACCAAAAATACCCGGTCGGGGGTTTTCCGTTTTTCACCCCGAGAAGCAGAAGGGGGCCCGGCCGTGAACCAAAAATACCCGGTCGGGTATTTCGGCCCACGACCGGGTATTTTCTCCCTTCCGGACAAAAATCTCATTCGCCCAAATTTTCGACCTCTCGTGCACGACAACACCAAATCGAGGCATAACAGACGACCGAACTTCACCACAGACATGCAACTGACTCAATACGACACAAAAACTCAGAAAAAGGGGAAAAGAAATGCAAACCATGGTGGGGTTGCCTCCCCACAAGCGCTTCTTTACCCTCTTTTAGCTGGACGCCCATGGTGGATACTCAGGGAGGTGAAGGAACAGGTGCCTCCAAGAGCGGATCCACGTCGCTCTTGAGGTACAGCTTCAGGTTGTGGCCATGCACCCGCCGGGTGCAACCACCAGCATTGGTCAGCTCGACCTGGCAATCCGGCAAGATGCAGGCGGGTGAGTACTCGGATGGCCAGGGTGGTCGTGGTGCAGGAGGTGGAACTAGCTCGTAGTGCAGGAGGTGGAACCAGCTCGTAGTGGTCTCCACCCTTCTTCCGTGCAAGCTTAGCAACCTGCTGCCTCGGTCGCCACTCCTCCTTGATCTTTTTGTTCGGAGGCGAGACTGGATGGAGTGGCGGCGAAGGAATGATAGGAGGGTCCTGCAAAATGAGAGGTGCAGAAGGATACACGACAGGCTCGTGTACCTGATCAGAAATGGCATGCACAGGTGTGACAACAATCATAGCACAGTGATCGAATTCAGTCACAGAAAAAGTAGCATGTTCATTCCCAGTACGCAGGATTAGTTTACCATCATGCACATCAATAAGTGCCTTGGCGGTGGCAAGAAATGGTCTACCTAGAATCAAAGGCACATCCACATCCTCATGTATATCAAGAATAACAAAATCAACAGGATATGTGAATGCACCTACATTAACAAGTAGATCCTCTATGATCCCCCTAGGATGCACAATGGAACGATCAGCTAGCTGAATGCTCATCCTAGTAGGGCTAAGTTCACCTAGATCTAGCTTTTTATATAACTTATATGGCATGACATTTATGCTAGCGCCTAGGTCCGCCAAGGACTTGCCTACATGCATGCTGCCAATAGTAAGAGGGATAGTAAAACTCCCTGGGTCCTTGCGCTTTTCGGGCAGCTTGTTCTGCAGGATAGCAGAACACTCCTTGCTCAGCAACACTGTCGATAGATCCCCGAGTTTCTTCTTGTCGGTGAGGAGATCTTTCATGAACTTTGCGTACTTGGGCATCTTCGACAGTGCCTCCACAAGCAGTATGCTGATGTTAAGCTGCTTCAACATTGCCATAAACTTGGCAAACTCAGTCTCCAGCTTGTCTTTGTGTAGGCGAGTGGGGAAGGGAAGCTGGGGTACATGCTCCTTAACCACTGGTTGTGGCTTGGGAGCAGGGGCTTCCTTTTCCACCCGCACTTCTGCATCGTCGGCTGGAAGTGGTGAAGCAGGTAGTGGTTCCTCCTACCTGGCCGGGGCAGGATCAGCGGATATGGTCTTACCGCTCCTGGAAAAAGTGGCATCCAGCTGCTGGGGCGGCTCCCGTGGATTGGGGATGGTAGTGGCAGGTAGAGTTCCCGGGGCCCTGGTGTTGTTGTGGAGGGCTATTCCTCCAATCTGATGTTGGAGGTCCTGCAGTATAGCACCTTGGTTCCTCTGACCTGCCTCCAGCGAGGCGATGCTCTGGTCTATCCTGGCGAAATTTTCCTGGCTGGTAGTCATGAATGCCGCTAAAATGTTTTTCAGCTCCGTCATCGGGTTATCTGGAGCTGGAGCTACTGCTGGCTCGGCATACTGACGCTGGGGCTGCTAGAATGGCTGCCCCTTCCTAGGCTAGTAGGGTTGTTGGAACTGGCCCCTGTCTGTCCTGGAAAGGCTGCCTCTGCTGAAAACCACCAACTGGTGCTGGGAAACCAGGTGGTTTAGTGGTGTTACTACTCCAAGCGAAGTTGGGATGGTGGCGCCACCCCTCATTATATGTATTGCTGTACGGGTCGAGGCGTCGAGCATTGGCGATAAAGTCCAACTACTCTTGGGGAGTAGAAGACTCCCTCATAGCCTAGCAGTCTTCCACTAGGTGATTTGAGCTCTCACACCACTAATATTGAGCTACTGGAGGTGCACCCAAACCTCTGCCCGAAAAAAGACTTTTGGGCTGCTTCAATGTCTGCACTAACTCGGCCACCTGCTGCTCGAGCCAGTACCTGGCCTCCATG